CGCCCGGCCGTGTGTGTGTGTGTTACCGGTCATGGCCATGCTGCTGCGTCGGGCCCAGCTTTCATCCTGGCTCAGCTGTCGGTGCAGTTTGGATTTCGTAGCAGAGGTTGCTGCAGGCGACAGGTCGGGGTTACTCAGCTTCCTGAAGAGGAGAGGCGGGGGAGCCGCAAACTCCTTCTGGAGAGATGAAGAGGATGGAGAGAGAAAAGAACGAGAAGACTCATAAGACTTTGTGTCAGGTCATATTTTGCTCATAGAGTTCACAAATAATCACTCATCAAGTCCAACAGTTTGCAGAAGGTCAGATATGTTGTTCAGGTGAAGTCTTCCTTCATACAGGTCGCCATATTGAACGTTTGTCACTTAGGGATGCAACTAATGATTATTTTCATTATCAGTTAATCTGTCCATCATTTCCAGGATTAATCAAGTAGTTGTTTGGTAGAAATCTATTTGGTCATAGAGGAGGAAAAAACTAGAAAACATTTGAGAAGCTGGAATCAGAGAATTTGGAAACGATTAATGGATTATCAAAATAGTTGGCGATTAATTTAATAGTTGACAACTAATCGATCAATTTATGGTGTCAACTCAATTCTCAGCTACGTACAGAGTGTCCCTTTAATTTGTTACGTACCTTAGATTTAAAATTTAAATACTGTACAACTTTTACTGACAAATACAATTAAAAAAAATAAAAAGAATCAGCCCTGCTAAAGCTGTATAAAACAAAACCTACTGTAAATCCTAAACCTGGTTTCAAGTAAAACAGAAAAATCCCAGGACCTGCAGTCAGACGGCGTGCGGTCCCCGTGAAAGAGCGGGCTGAGAGCCAAAATAAAGTCATAAAACACAACGCTAACCACTCGCTGACACCCCGTCTCCCTCTCACATGGCCACACACACACACACACACACACACACACACACACACACACACACACACACACACACTGTAATTGTAAAACGCACACCTGTTTTTGTCAGTATGCAAAAGGAGCAGTTACAAGTCTAAGAGGCTTTTTCGGCCACAAAAACGATGTCACCAAACAGCTGCAGAACGAGCGCAGAGTCTGATTTATATTCAGTGTGTCGGACTTCCTCGACACTCAGGAAGGAAAATACAGTAGAGCCAACAAGCACACACACACACACACACACACATATATATACTGAAGGTCTGCATGTGGGGTTCTGGTTCCAACGATTTTGGAAACATCTGCTGTTACGATGGAAACGAGGCCTTGGCTGGGCCCATTTCCTCCTCTCTCTCTCTCCCCTGTGAGAGGACCAGCCCTTGACGAGACTTTTCCAGGAACATCTGGACGGCCCACGTTAACACACAGCTCCCAGATGGCTGCACGTATGAAAGAGCCTTAGTGAAAGCTTCCGTTAATTCTCCGCCAGTAAAACCTGAACCGGCCGCTCCCCCTGAAAATGACTAAAACACACTGATAAACACACACACACACACACACAGTGCAACCATGTGCGACCTTTATCTCCTTTCTCAGGCTGGAGTAAATGATGTGCAACAGGCCGTCAGCAAACTGCATCACATTAACTTATGAAAGTAACATGTGCTTCTTCCTCGATCACAGTCCCATGCTTAGTGCATCAGAGGATAGCTTCTCACTTCAGCTCTAGTCATGAAGGCCAGTATTCAGTGAGGACACGAGTGGGCAATATGGATAAAATCTTCTATCAGCGATCAAAAGACGTTCTGTAAAATCAGTTGAGAAACTCTTAATGAATACAAGATGTCTGCTTTACCTAACGCTGGGGTAGGCAGTTTGTTTTGCGTCTAAATTCTCCACAGCAATCAATAAATCAAATGAAATGAAAATCTGGTATCTGTCGCAGGACTGTAATGAGCATGCCTACCCGTCTACCTGCACGCTCTCTCTGCCCGTGCACTTGTGCGTGACCGTGTGTTTTGGAGTAAAGGTTCTGCAGGTTAGGCAGGTAGGATTTTTTCGTTTGGATACTTTCACAATCCAACCGTAACTTTGCAGTTCGCCAACGTTCGCCAACCCCAGCTGTAATCCAGCAAATTAAATAAATGACAAATCAAGTCACTTCACGAGTTTGAAAAGGACATCATGTAAAAATCCAATTTGGCCAGAGAGCCGTCAGTCCTACTCAATAACAGTGAGTGCGAGGACGGACCTTATACAACACGAGATACCTTTCCTGTTTCCAAAGCCCGAGAAAACCAGATATCTGGGTTCAGAAACACAGACAATACAACTGATATTAACTACAGTGCTATATTTTCAGAATACTAGTTACAAAACACAACACTCTACAATTTTCTTTATTAAAATCTAATATTTAAAGCTTCCACAGAAAACAACATGATATTTTTACCAAGCAGCAGCTACAGGACGTTAGAGCCGCAACAATTAAATCGGTTAATTGTCAAAAATTAAATTAATCTGAATCTATTTTGATAAATTTTTTAATTCTCTGATTCTCAAGTATGAATATTTTCAGGTTTCTTTTCTCCTCTGAGAGAGAAAACTGAACCTCTTTGGGTTGTGGACAAAAGAGGACATCTGAGGACATCATCTTGGGTTTTGGGAAACACTGATCGACATTTTTCACAATTTTCTGGACCTAACAACTAATCGATTAATCGAGAAAATAATCAACAGATTAAACGATAATAGGGGTGTAACGGTACACAAAATTCAGAGTTCGGTATGTACCTCGGTTCTGAAGTCACGGTTTGGTTTATTTTCAGTACATTAAGGGGAAAAAATACTTACAATAATTTGCTGGTTGCTTTATTATGACATTTTGTAAACACCAAAATTAGTTTACAATTGTTTAAGCAAACTTTTAAATTGAACATAATAAAATATATAAAGAAGAAATAAAATACTGCCTCAAACTACTACAAAGTTCTCCACTAATTCTTCTTCTTAAAAACAATATCACATAATAAAATATAATAATAAATATAAATAACTATGGATTACAGTGCAGCATTATCAAATCCAGCGTGTAGACAGATGTTCCGCAGATATGAATCGATAATCGATAATGAAAATAACCCTCTAGGAAGCATCCACCTATAGATTAAATTACTATATATGGTTAAAATCACTATCACAATATTAGTCAAGAATGACTGGAAACTTTTCCGGCAGATTGATCAGTTTTAGGCAGATTATTAAGATGGAGAGCGGTCAAACTTTTACTGCAGTCTGGATAAAAATTAAACCTCCAACAGACATATTCAGGGTAAACAATGGCTGCTGTTGCCAGGGATCAGGAATCAGAACACAAGCAATATTGATCATGTTAGTGGAGTCAGTAACAGCGGCTTTATCCATGAATATTAATCACAACATAAGTTTGTCATCTCAACATGTGAGCAGAGCAAAGAAGGTATTTCTCCTGTCCAACACCAGTGTTGGGGAAGATACTCAGAAATTGTAATATATTACTATTTACTTATTACTCCTTCAAAAAGAAATAATATTAGGTTACTTTACTGGGAGATAAAAAGTAACTAGTAACGGTACTCGTTACGTTACTATATTTTCTCGACAACCCAGCTATATTCTAACTTTGGACAGGTTTGTGCAGCGGTGTTCATGACAGAGAGGGAGCGCTGCACAAGGTGCTACACAAATAAATCAATGTAGGGGAAACACTGCTTTCACTACCACCCCCCTTCACCCCAAACAAAGCAGTCTCTCCTTTTTAACTTTTTTACCAAACAGCAGCAAGGAGAGTGAAATAAAAAAATAAAGCAAGTAAATCCCGACTTTTGAACAGCTGTTTTTCTGCACATGTAGCCTATTTATAAGAGCAGTATTCGGTATTTTTACAAAACGTTACGTTAACGCCGCTCTCTCCCGACGAGTCCAAGCATCAGTGACAGCAGCTGCCGGAGTTTCTTTCTGTAAGTTTCACGTCGCTGTGCTGCGTCAGCAGACGCTTCAATAAATCAGATGTAGAATTGTTTGCGGTTGAAAGCTTTTTGCTACTACTAGTTACTGGGAAAGGTAATAATATTACAGTAACGCGTACTGTCCAACACAAAGGCCGATTGTTGTTGCTTCATTGCTTTATCGTTGATTGACAGCTTGGGGTAAAGCAGCTCCATGTTTAATACGTGCCGAGCGCTGCAGCACACGGAATACATCTGAATCTATTGTCACATTCTGTGGGTCCCCTGCAGCTCTGTATTTAACCAGCAGGTGGCAGAGACACAGCAACCTGCTGAGGGAGTGATTCCAAACAAACTGCTGCTTTGAGCCTCTTCTTCAGAGTGAAAATTTAATGTGCAAACATGCAAGACAGCTATGAGGTCCGCTGGTTTGTGATATACTGCAGCTGTCCCCGAACAGACTCGCACAGTCAGCTTTACAAGGCTTTTGCTATCAACATGCACTGCCAGAGCGTCAGAGGAGGACAGAACAAGCACACATCAAAGTCTACAACACAAACCCCCAAAGGTCTGATAAGGTTAGTGTTTGCAGGGCGACTTGAGGACAGGACAGGAGGGTGTTTCATTTCCACAGCAGAGTAACATCTACTCAGGACGTCCAGGCTAATCCACAGAATTGGCACCAATTAAGGTCATTTGTAATGGATTTCTATCGGCTATATAAAGGCCTGATCCTGTTCTTCTTCCTTGTTTAGTTCTCCAGATACAGCAGCCCTTGTGAGACACTGTGTCATAACACGGATCAAACAATTCAGTGAATCTTAACTTCAGCAATAAACGGACTTACTGCTTGTGTCAACCAGTAAAGTGACATTACGGTGCTCTGTTCTCTGAGGTCTTGATGAGCTACTGTTGTAGTCCATTAAGCTGGTAATTGGCCATGCACTAAGCCTCATCCTTAGTTGCGGTTACTAAATTGCCTGGTGACAAAAATGTTCTTTTAACACTCTAGATAGTGTTGCACTATTGTGCAACGCTACATCACAGCTTAGTGTGGTCACAAGTACCAGACACCACACAAAGCATCACAGCTGGGTGTGGTTCAACAGACTTACTTTCAAACCCACAGGTCAGTTCTCTCCATACAAGAAGAGCTCCTTTTTAGATGGCCAATTACTGCTAAGGGCTTGCCATATTATATCATTCACAATATAACGGTTTAATTTCTTAATATGATAAAAAAAAAAAACCTATAAAACGACCGCTGCACACGCTGCAATAACAAGCGTGCCTGAAAATGAAAGTGGCCTTGCTACCAGGGTGAAAAGTGGAGCAACTTCAGCAGTGTGGAAGTGGTTTGGTTACAGACGATCAGATGTACAACAAACACAGTAATATGTAAGAAGTGCAACGAGACTGTAACTACAAAAGGGGACAGAACAACAAACACATTTCACCACCTGAAGCAGCAGCACCCGGATGAGCACGAGGAGAGCCAGAAATGAGTGAGTTGTAAACCTAAATATTTTCCTGTATTTTCTCATATCGTCAAGAATATCAATAATGCAGAAATACCCTGATATTATTATATGGTCATATCGGCCAGACCTACTTACTGCACTGGTAAAGTGCATTAAAACTCCTTTAAAAACAGGACAAACATACTGACTGCACCCAGGTCTTCCTCAAGGTCAAAGATGATGATTTACAATAAAGTGCTGCCAAAAACATAATAAAATAATGGTAAAAATTATAAAACATCTAAGGCACAGGAATGAAATAAACCACAAGGTTTTCAACTAAACCAAGATTGTGATTATTAGATTATATCTAATAATGTCACTGAACAAAGTGCTCAGCAGGGAGGAATTCAGTTTGTGATCCAACTTCCCTCTCAAAGACAAAAGTGTTTATGACAGATTGATTTAAAAGTTATTAAGGATAAAATATGCAAACATCATTTAACCCACCCAACAAAAACTAGAAACACCCAAACAAACAATGTACTGTACATGTTCTCTTCCTCAATACTGGGAGGGAAGTAAAACTAGGATTTCACAACGCTTCTTCTCCTTTTCTCGTTCTCTCTTCCTCCCGGCTTCCCTCTGTGCCCGAGCTCCTGCTGCATCACATTTGGGCCGACATTAATCTTGTGTCACGTCCCGTGGAGAGCCGCACCACACTTTAATGTAAGATGTACCTCTACAATCTGTCGCGTGTCCCCTCATAAGGCTGAAACCAAGCTCCCAGCTGAGGGGCCCCTCTCTCACAAAAGCACACAAACAATACAAAGATAATGCAATTAATGGATCTCTATGAGTGGTCGTCTGGTGCATCACGTAGGCAGAAAGTAAAGTTGAATTCTGCCACCGACCGTACACTCAAAACAGGCGGCGGAGAGCAGAGCAGCTCACGCCCACACAACAAAAAAAAAGACAGACACAATTAATCTTGTGTATTGTTTTGTTGGCAGCAAAGGAGGCCAGACGATCCAAAATGTGATTTAAAAACTCTCCTGGCTCCAGAGTGTGTTGACGGTTAATTCAATGAGCTGGCGGCTGAAGAAGTGCTGGAGAATTATTACCACAATGGCTTGGAAGTGAATTTTAATGCAGCAGATGCAAATGCACAGCACAGCACAGCACAGGGAGATAGATGGGTAGACGCTACACAGCAAAGTGCACCGTGTGCAAAGACGGATTGTTGTTCGAGTTGTTGTTTTTGTTAGCTGGTTTAGTGTGTGGGTGTGTAGGCTGACCACCAGTAAAGATCTCGAGAGTTGTCTCAACATCGGAACAGACAGTGACAGCACATTTAAACATTCAGCACTGTTTTGCATTTTTCTTTTAATCTTTACTGAGTGGAAACATTTCCCAAGCTGTCCTTGCCACCAGAGGACCCTGATTTCTACAGTAGGGCTGCCGCTTGATAGTCGACCAAACCGTTGAGAAGAGTCTTAGTCGACCAAGTTTCATTGGACAGTTAGTTGCAGAAAGAAAACAACCTCAAACTCCATGCAGGAGTTGTTAGGGCCAGGACGAAAGGGAACAGTTGCAACACGGACATTTTCTCCAATAAAGTGTCGCGGACACTTAACCGCTTACTGCAGCAGCCTTTAGCTAGTTAGCTCAGTTAGCCGTGCAGCTAGCCGCATTTGTTCCTGTGGAGTTGGAAGTTATTTATTCACGTGTTTTGACCAGCAAGACAAACGAAAGGTTCAGTCTCCTCGCTGGTTGTCCCAACACATTCAGAATCATTACCACTCGTCGTTAAAGGACGGCTCGCTGCATGCCCAAAAATATAAACATATTTAATTATTATCTAGCTGATTAAAGGCTTAAACTATTGACTAATGTGTGTGTTTAAAGACTTACTGTACTGCTTTTACATACCTGATCCTTAGTAGCAGTAAGTACCTGAACTTGTCTTCATCGCATTAAAGCTTTAATCAACTTGGATCATATTTTCAATTGTCAAAATCATTTTTGAGGGTTAGAAAAACATTGTCGTTTTTGTCGCCTATTAACTAAAACAATATTAGTGCTGCTGATGTTCAATATGTTGTTCAGAATGCTAAATAAAATCTGACCGTAGAGACCAGAGATTTTCCATCAACACAGCTGATAAGTAAACTCTCATTACCCTGAGGTGATGTGATTCTGTACACAGATAGCTAATCAAGCAATAGCTCACGACAGGCCGTGGTATACGCTTATTATATCACAGTTAAGGGGGCGTTGTTCGGCCCGACGGTCACCAAGTATGGCAAAAAGAAAGTAGGCTGACAGACGCACTACAATTTGACTTTATTTCATCAACAGACATTTCTTTATGAATACAAAAAGTAGTCCCGCCAGGCTGCCGGTAGGCTACATAGCGCATGACGGTTGCTAAGCAAGATACATCAATGGTTAGAATTATAAGAACTATTTATTTATATTTATTTGCACGTTGCCCTTTGTCGTGCAGCCACTAAAAACTGTCTAGTGTCAGTACATTGAATTTGGTAACTTGAACTTGGCCATAATATGCTTGCTGCTGTGTGCCGGTGCCTTTAATAGGCTATTATACCTACTATAAAGGGCTGAATTGGGTCTCTCATTGAGCAACAGTCTTTTGAACAGGCTACTGAAACTTAAACTGCAATATCGCAGACATCTGGAGCGAGTAGTGGACTGCTGTGTGTGCGTTTTTGTGTGTGTGTCCCTCTCTCTCTCTGTAAAATCTGATCTGCATAAGATCGCGTTTTAATACCAGGTGTAAATGGGGCGTGAGACCCCCACGAAGTTCAGCTTATAACTCGAACCCTGTTTGTCGCGAAGTGATACGAATCTATGCGAAGGAATGCGACGTCACACCTGTTGTATACGCTCATTATATCACTACTATGAACCAATCAGATTGCTTGATTTGAGCTACACGTTTTATAATGGTATATACTGTGTGCGTGTGAAACGCAATTTGCACTTTGGTGACAGCAGCTTCTCCTCTGGGAATCATCATCACTTGTTCTTCATCATCACCTCTAGCTGTGTCTAATGTCTCAGCCATCCTACAGCGTCAGCAGAAAGACACATTGCATAATTACGACATTGTTTACCTCAGTGTGTCTCATCTCAGCCTCTCACGTAACTCGACAGTACGCTTAAGAAAAACATTCCATACGAATGATCCGTTCAGTGACTCATGTCGGTGCTGCTATGAATGAATGATTTTATTTGACGATTTAAAAAACACATGTAACATAGCACTCACAGAGGATGAAAACACAACAAAGCCTGAAAGGAATTTCCATTGTGTTGCTCTAGTATAACACTGAACACACCCCAAGATAAAGCAACACAACAACACCACAACAAGCAAAGACAACACATATAAATAGAAGGCAGTGGGGTAGTGGCTATGTCAGCGTGCTCTTGTTTTCTTGGACAAGTTTTTTAAATAAAAGTATTTAAATATGCTAGATGGATCTTTGTAAGCATTTATTTAAGGCCACTTTAAACATGCAATAATTAAGTATTTTGGTATCATATACATACAGGGAGCGATGGGGAAAGATGCATCAAAAGGTATCTTAAAAAATAAATAATAAATAAATACCTCTCAAATAACTATCAAAATTAATCACAATCACAACTGGTGCAAGAAAAAATTTTTTTGGTCCCGTTTGAATGTGCCCTGAATTACACGGAAGATATTTTTGCAAGTCAAGAAAGTTTGTCAAACTGTTGAAGTATAAAACTGTGAAAATATGTAATTAGAAAGACTACAAACCCAAAAGTCAAGTATGTGACTGAAGCTAACGTCAAAGAGCTTCCATGTGTAGATGATGTGATGAAAGGACCAGGAGACGTCGGATTTAACACGCCAGGTGAGATACATCTGTGCGTGGAAAATAGTTAAGTTCCCTAGCTGGTAGCAATTAAGCAATGAACATTAGCTTAGCATTACAGCAATAACATGTCGGTGACGTATATTGTGCAAGACGAGAGATGACGTTCATTGAGCGGTTTCACTCAAAACTAAATGTTACTTTACTGTTTTGTGTGTTTTTGTTTTTGTTTCTGACTTGCAAAATTATTGCTTCAATTGATAAACATCATGCGTGTAATTCAGGGCAGTGAGGGCACATATATAAATAAGGAACAAAAGACGAAATACGGTCCCATGAGCTGGAACTTTGGCTTTCTATTTTCAAAATATAAGAAAATACATTTGTGATATTAGACATTCTGAATTTGTGCAATGTTTTATAATCAACACAAGGCTCAGGTGAAAGTTTGAACTCTACTGGAAGAAAGAACACAGTTGAATGCTGCAGTAACTACGCATTACAAAACATACAAAAATACTGAAAACTGCCTTGTACAGTATGTAGAAACCTGCTCTTTGTCCAGTCCAAAGACATTGCAGCCAGTTCAATTAGTAGCCTATGTAGTTGCCTTTCAGCACAACTAACTTCTCAGATATTTCTGGTGTTAACCGCCTTTTTAAAACCCTGTAAAATACCAATTGCAAAATAGTTGGTGCTGGTTGGCGTTGGTGCAAACTGATGAGCAGACAGTACACTCACAGTACTGTCCGTACTTGCTTCATTACTCCACCACTAACCCTTCAAAGGCACAATCTAAGAACGGTCACTGCAGATCTTAATATTAATCAACAGCATTTATCAACTTGATGTAATCTAAACAACGTTGTCCTACCAAACTCCAGTCTAAAAAAGCAACATTTTGATGGAAATCAGGAACTGTCTGATAGAAGAATAAGTAAACAATTCCAGCTGTTAGTACATTTTTGGATACTTAGTTTCACATATTTTAGTGGATAGTTTACGTTTGGTCCAAACACATTATGGTTAAGTATTGATATCCAATAAACAACAGAAATTTAAGAGAAAACAATATTGATGATTGATTAATCAGTAATTTTTCAAGCAAAACTTGCTTCACATTCAGTGACAAATGAAAAGCATTCTCTCTTCCAATACTTGCAACAAAAAATT